GCCCGTACTACTGGACGTGTCGAGGACCACATTCACACTGACCACGATAAGCACTGCGTCATTTGCAGATATCAACAGACCGACATCAAGGCCTCCTAATGATGTAACACCGATGGTTTCGGTGCAGCTCGTGTGTCCACCATCGCTCACCTCGTTGGGATACGATGTCACCGCAATGCCACCGAATTCACCCTTCTTAACGATTGTGGTGGTGTCCTCCCTCCCAAGCGCCTTCATTTCTGCGCGGCCCGCATAATGCTGCAGGTCCTTGTAGTAGACGAGAGAGACGCGATTGCGTTGCTTTGCTTCGGTCTCCTCACCCTCCTAGTGCAAGTCAAGTAACATTGATCGGCCACCTCACTCACGGTCTTACCTTATGTACACTCCTTATCAGTTCGGAGAGCAACTTTCCTGTGACGACGCGGCCATCAATGTGGGCGTCATAGCGACCGGTGATAGGGTAGGAGTCTCCGTGTGGACCCTTCTTCAGGAGGAGATGTGCGTCTCTGGTGGAGAAGATGAGCCAATTGTGGTTGGCGTCCACCTCCTCCTCCTTCGCATCAAAATCCTCGACATCTCCGTAGTAGGCCGGTGTCCAGACAACATCAGGATCCACATCTTCTTCGATGCCGTGCAGGGAATGCGTTACTAAACATTGTTGGCAACAATGCCATCGTTACATTTGTGGAATCTTGGCCGTGTCTGGTAATTGACATCACGAGTGTGGCATTTTTACTTTAACCCTTGTTCGGCAGTTTGTGATACAGTGGTTGAATGTTGTTTCATGCAATTAACTTGAACTATTCTCGCACATACTTCTGCTGCTGCCATTGACGGGAGGACAAATAATTGGCTACATGGTGTGCTTGGCGAAGGCGGGTCATTAACGAATCCTCTTCCTTACCCCTTGCTGTCCGTTGCGGCATTTCGGGCACATTCACTGGCATCGAGTAGTCCCCTAATTTGGGGTGAAAATGTCGTTAGGATGTAATTGTAGTGCTTCCTCTCATCACCTCAATGCAAATAGCATCTCATCGAGGTCTGTGCTGTCGGTGGACGTAACAGACATCGGTGCGAATAAGCATCAATCCTGACTGCATTGTTTTACTGACCAGTTTATCCGCTGACATCTTATCTAACCCTGTCTGAATGGAGTCGGAGGTGGAAGAAGTTGAAGCTATGCAAACATTCCTGCTAGTACCTCATATTTAGCGTTGTGTGTGAGAGGCTGTTCTGTTGTGCTGCGTGATTCTTCTCCGATCAGAAGAAAGCATTTTGGATTTGGACTTTACCGATTTGGCACTGACTGCAACAAATCGTTGTGGTTTGATCCCAGTTTAACCCCTCTCGGGTGCAACATCAAGAGCCTTTCAATTGACTTATGTGAAGCCGACGTTATTTGCAGGCACTGCCGCACGTCTTTCAGC